GCACCCCTTCTGCATTATTTTTGAAGGGTGCACAGCCCGTGGGTGTGTGTGTGTGTGTACCCTCCCTCAGTGATCCAATCTTCATCTGACTATCAAATCATAGGGAATACTGCCTATGATTTACTGCTGTCTTGAAATATATCATGCTAAAACATTGTTGATGTATTTCTACTCTGCCAATTTGGCAGAGTTTCACAAGATGATTTACAGAAAACAGTCACAAAATATACAAGATATATTTACACAACACAGCCTGATTACTGAATTAATCAATTTTCTAGGTTTGTACAATACTATATAGACAATACAGCAAACCGTGAACTAACTACATGGGCCAGGTTCCCCCAATTTGCCAAAGTCATAGTTCTTGGGTTTTGGTCTCATGCTACCACCACCACCACCACCACGTTAAAAGTAACCAAGCTTAGCATGCTGTAAATATATAACTAACCTGGTTAGTGGGTTGTGAAGTCAGAATTTTCTTAGATTCTCTCCTTGGTGTTGCAGAAACCTAAAGGCTGCAAGCTAGACTGGGAAGTCAAAAGACCATTGTGAAGAGGGTAATGACAAACCACTTCCAGACTTCCCAGTAAGCTACATGTCTGTATAGTTTCCAGAAGACAAGCTTAACTAGAGAGAACCTTTGCCATTACAATTTCCCACTCACTCATGCTGGCTGGGGAATTCTGGGAGTTGAAGTCCACTTACCTTAAAGTTGCTGAGGTTGAGAACACTGCTCTAGAAAAGCATTCTAATACAGACAGAACTAAAGATTTCTTTCACTAGAAGGCAAGGGGGGCTTTAAAGAAATACATCCAGGTGCTTTCAAGCAAAATGGGTAATAGAGCATACCGACTCTATTGTGACACAGGTGGAAGTAATAAATCTGTATTACTTTTATTTATTACTTAGCTTGAAAACCTCATACAAAATAGCATATATTAGAAGAGCCACACTCAGAAAACCATGTGTTCTGTCTCATTGCATTGAGAGGGAGAGAGATGCACTGAAAAGGGTATATTAGGGAAACTTGCATTGAAACCGGGATTTATTAGAGAGTTGTGCAGTGCAAAGAAAAAATTACTGGAATGAAATTGGCAAATGCACAAAACTCTAAAACAGACTGGATTTAGTACCATCATCATCGTCATCTGCCCAACTCCCAACAACTCTGGGCCATTTACAAATTGTTTAAAACATTAAAAACAAGAACAAACAACAAAAGACAG